ATCCTACCTCACGCACCTAGCTCTCCTTCACCATCGAGTTTCACACTAATCCTTCTCCACGTTTTCCTTATTGATCGCTCTATGAGCGATCTCAAGCGATCAATTCCCCCCTGCTCTCTCTATTCTTCCACTCAGTACATCACGATCTAACTCAAATTGAGCCCTAACAAATACACACATTGCTAACACAAAAATTTAAGTTCAAAATTTATTTACCTCTGGTTTCCATCTCTCTCTGGTTCGGTAGAATTTCTCTCCAATCTCGTTGTCCCTAGCCGGTTTCCGTCGCGATTTCCTTCACTCTTCTCAATCCTTCTCCCTCTCTTCGTCTTTCTCTCCCTTTTTCTTTCTCTTTTTCCCTTTTTTTTTCTTTTCTTCAGCTCAATACTTTCTTTTTATACTCGTCCCGGCTCAATCCGAACCATTGAAATCCTCTACATGATCTCTATCGTCCATCCTGTTATTCCCAAACCCGCACTCTCTCTTATGATTTGATTCTGCTTCCACCAGCCCCTTCTTGGTAAAATACTGCACACACACATAAATTTCCCTTTTTAAATACTCAACATACCAAAACATTACACTTACAGTGCTGGAAGTGGTAGCAGAAAGCCCCACGGTCTCGGGTTATGGAAGAATATTCTCTTCCTGTGGCCTCGCTTCAGGGACTGTTTTTGCTGGTAACTTGGCAGAGGGGATAGAATAAAATTCTGGTATGATGAGTGGATTGATGGGGGAAGCTTCAACACCAGATTCCCTAGAATTTTTCCAATTGCACAGTCTAGAAATTTGGTTATTGAAGAAGCCTATAGAGAAGTTAACGACCTCATTGAGTGGATGATCAATGTTAATAGAAACTTAAATGACTGGGATGTGGGTGAGTACCTTTGAATTCCTTCAGAGTTTGGCTGCCCAACAGATTGGTTCTGTGAGAGACCAGGTGAAATGGAAATTGGAAAAGGATGGGGCTTTTATCCGGTCAAATCCTGTTATAATCACATTATGAGGGAAGAGTTGAGTAGAAGCCATACCCTCCCTGCCTTACAGATCTGGAAAACCTGGGTACCTCCTAGAATCGCAGTTTTTGGTTGGGAAGCTTGCAGAGAATGTATTCTTACTTTAGACAAGCTGGAATCTAGAGGCCAGGTGCTAGTAAACAGATGCTTCTTATGCAAGAAGGCTGAGGAAGCGTGTAAACATTTGCTGCTGTGGTGCCCTGTGGCCTATGAGTTTTGGACAATGATTTACGGATTGATGGGAATACATTGGGTGATTGCAGACTTTGTTAGTGATGAGGTGTGGGCTTGGGATGGTCTTACTAGAAAAAGAAACACACTGTAATGATGATTCCATTGACTGTTTTTTGGATCCTTTGGAAGGAACGAAATTGTAGAACATTTCAGAGTATAGAACTGACCTGTATAGATTAAGAGACAAACGACTCTACTATTTTAGTTTTATTTTATTAGGTCATGACATTAGCAGTGATGTGGATTTTGAGATTGTTATTGACATTCTAATACCTTTGTAGAGCATTTGAGAATATAGAAACTGACCTGTATAGGTTAGGGAACAAATGACTCCACTATTTTGATTTTATTTTGTTAGATTATGACATTAACAGTGATATGGATTTTGAGATTATCATTGACACTCTAACACATTTGTAAATCTTTTGTATATGAGTGGTATTACACTTTTTATTTTAAAAAAAAGGACGCATCTTTAACTCTTACAAGCTCAAAAAAGGCCTGGGAGCTGGACTTTCAAGGGTAAAGTATGGATAAGAATCGTTGACTCTTCAAAATATTGGATAAGGAATATCCGTGTTGAGATTGGTAGTGCGGACAAACCAGGTTGAACACGAAACCTTTCAGTATTCAACCATTATTCATATATTGATCCAGATGTATCAATTTCTGGCTGAGATCTGAACTTTGTTTGGGAAATAGCGGTATTTATTCTGATTCTGAAAACCCATTTCTCATTTAAGTACTTCTATCATGCGAGGTGTGATATGATTGCCTATGCTCACACTTTCTTATAAAAGGAAAATGACTGCTTATGCTATTAACGTGCAATTAGCTGTAGCAACTTTCTAAAATCCAAAAACTCCCTCTTAAGATAATATGAAAACTAATCAATTATGCGAACCAAACATTTATTTTCGAATTAACATCAGAATTTGAAATTTTTTTGGTAAATAATAATAGATACATTTATTTCAAAAAAAAAAAACTAATAATAGATACATGTAAAAATTGCTTAAATGTATTCTATATTAGATATGACATCAATAAAATCAGTTCAATGGAAGATAAAGCAAGTGCCCAAGAGACTCAATGAAAAAATTAAACTTGTTAATATCATGAATTCATAAACATAAAAGTCTTCTGTTTGTGCAATGTGACAGGAGAAGATAAAGGTGCAGGATGATTGATGCTTGGATGATTCCTGCTGGGATATAACATAGATTTCCAGAACAGCGTATAGGCACTTGACATGAAGCAAGCTCATGCAAACAGGATTTACGCCTCATATCACAGTGTTTCAAGATACTTCAAGGAGGAAAAAAGATAATATCAGGAATTAAAATTGAGAAAAATGCTTGTACCAGGCAACAGCTATAAAATTTTCTTCAATCAAGTCCAGAAAAACCATAGAGGTTAACCTTGGAGGCAACATGACTACAGATTAGATCAAATAATGAGATATCAAGTTCAGCTATCATTGCATTAAAATCAAAGGCAAAAAGATCTGAGAAATAAGTGGATAATTCAGATTTTAACCTTTTTGATGTCTTGATCTCATCACTGGGGACATCAAGTGATTGACAAGCATCTTCTCTTGAATCTGAATGAGTAACTCCAGAAACACAGGTAGACTCTTGGGCACATTTCAGGGGCTTCTGAGGAATACATTCTGAAAAAGCCAGTGCTAAAGCATTCCCTAAAAAGGTGGAGTTGTTTCTTTTCCTAGGGGAATGGGGACCATAAATACAAGCAGACTCCAACCGATTACAAGTTTCATTAGCCATCAAATCCCTTTCACCATTGGCAGGATTCAGACCTGCAAATGAATCCACGATACCATCCACAAGAGTGACCGAATCACTAGCTGACCGACGATGGAAATTTCCATTGGAATTCACATTTGGATCACTCAACAAATCATCAACCCATGATTGCTCGTCCTCCTCCTCTGGTATAGAACTTTGGAAGGAAGACTTGTGATGTCCAAGATGTGATTGGACGTTTGTCGGAGAGATAGAGATGGTGTTATGGGCTGGGTGAGAACTTGGAGTCTTTTTAAATGGGCATCGAGGAGGAAGCTGACCTTGCCTTGACATGGTGCACAGGTATTTTATAGGTTGGCGTCACAACTTTTCTCTCAGATATCCATTGTTCAAGCTTCTCCAAGCCTTCTATAGGGAAGGAAAATAATATAGAAGGGTCCTCCTCTTTTATTTGCTCAGTGCCATGTTTCTTGCAGCTACCTAACCTACCTAGTTGGTGCAAACTTTACAAGAAGATGAAAGAGTAAGGAAGAGACTCAGCCAAGAGAAGGATATAAAAGAAGTTTCAAATGTAAGTGACAAACTATTTTATGTACATCCATATGTTGCCAAAACCATCTAACAGTATAATGTGATTCTTGGCGTTCTTTTACTCCTTTTTCTTACTCGCTAGACGTGTGCGATTGAAGACACAACTATAATACAATTTAATTCATGTTTTTGCTTCTACCGCCATCAAATTCCAAAGGGAAAAAAAAAGTGAAAAAGAACTTCCATTTTCTCCGAAAATAAAAAATCAACAATAAACATTTGGCTTTAAAACTCCGTTTTCTATCAATTTCCAGTCACTTTCTAGGCAGCCAAACAGCAGAATTAAGGCAAATTAATTATTAAAAAGACAATCTGTCAAAATCGAGAGAACCCCAAACTTTTCTGAAGAAGTAACTCCAGAACGGTAAGTAGTCTTATTTTCTAGTATCAGTTCACATGAAAATAAGCTGCATTCAATATATAATAGCAGAAAAGAAGAAATCAACCCATATCTCAATTGATAAAACTGCAGGCAATTAATGCAACAGTGACACTGAAAACAGTGAGATTATGAACTTACCAGAAACAAATTTGAGACGAAAATTCAAAAATATCGCAAAGAAATTAACACAGAAAATCAATGTTCAAGGGACGTAAAAATTCCACTTTTAAACAATCAAATTTGTACAACAAGAAAAAACTAGAACAAAATAAAACTCGCGATTGCGCCATTGGTTTGAAGTCGGTATAAAGAAACTTGGCTTACCTTTTTTACTATTTAATTTTAATCCTCTAAAACAATATCCTGTAACGTAGAAGAAGAAAAGAAACCTAAAGGAAAGGAGGTGATTATGGACAGCACTCAGAGGTGAAGGATAGTTAACGTGCGCCTCTCGTCTCTCTCTCTCTCTCTCTCTCTCTCTGTGCCAAGAGAGCGCAAGTGAAAGTTGCAAGTTGCTCCGGCGTGCCAGCGTATATTTTATTAATTTATAGGGGCACGCGCGTATAGTCACGTACAGAGCAAGATAAAATAAATAATAAAAAGTGGTCGTGCCTAGTTAATGATAACTTAGAGCCGTTGGATGTTTAGTATAATTCCAGATGTTCCACGTGGAGTCATCTAAAGTTTCGCAGTAGATAGGAAGGGAAGCATGAGATTGAAGTGGAGAGTATAAACCGAGAAAACGCATCCCATTGGATGGGAAAGTACGGAGGAGTGGGGTCCACACTGGGTTCGTTTCAGGTCAGACTTTCCACGTTTTTCTTAAGAAGGGAAAAAAGAGAGAGGTTAGTGTCAAAATGATAATAATAAATCAATTTTAATTTAAATAATGTAATTAAGCTGGGATATTGTAGATGATTAATGATTTTGACGTAGAAATTATTTATTATGATAAATTATTTAGTATTATTATGATTAACTTTTTTTTTTTTTGAGAATAGCAAAAAAAAAAAAAAAAAATTTATTAATTAAGTAGACTAACGAACTGTCCCAAATATGAAAACAAGGAAAGAGTTGTTCAGCTCTGGCAATCCTATGAGCTACGTGCTTACATTCCCATCTAACTAACTAATAGTTATACCATGCATGCCTTTTAAAATGTCTTTACAATTTTGAATAACAAACCTCAAATTTAGAATTATCCTCCTTGCAAGATTGCAAAGTTGCAAAACATTTAGCGTCTATTTTTTCGTACTAATCTAGAACATAATCGAAAATATATTATACGTACGACAGTAATCCAAAACATCATAAGGTAAGATAAAGAGTGTCAATTGAATATACTCGTGAATACTACAGTTACGCGTCCGGTTGAATTTCGTATAATTGTACTAAAATCTGAATTAATATTAGTACCATACACTACTCTATTTATATTGCATTTGCTGTCGTGTGCTCTTCTGATGTCTTTTATCTGTTTTTATTTATAGAGATATATGAAATTTTATTTATTTTATCATTTTATTCATTTTGTGTCTCAGTCTTCATAAATAATATAAAAATATAATTAAATTTAATATTATAAAAATTTAAAGTTTTAATATTTTATTGAATCAAAATATTTTCTTAATTATTTTCAATAATAACAAAATTCATGTACTAACCTAGATACTTTTGTAACTAACGCATAATACATATTTACTTATTGTTTCATTTTTGTTAAATAGTTTTCAATTGGGCCGAACGAACGCAGCCCCTCGTGGCCCAATATGCTGCAGACCCTACTGGGCTAAATGTACAGAGTGTATAGGCGCAGCTTGTCCCACTCTTATTTTATTATTATTATGTGAAATTTATTAATATTTATATTTTATTTTTGGAGGTTGTAAATTCTCAAAATATTTTTTTCCCAGTAATACAAAATAAAAGTGTCACAAACGAAATCAACGGTCGCGATTCCTTCTAAGACCAAGAATAGCACGGAGAATTCTAGATCCTTCTATTGTTTCAAAACCAAAATCCGTAAGAATAAATCTGGACCGTTCACTAAATCGAATATAATCAAAGATCTAACCTCAGATCCACCCTCTTTCTTTCTCTCGCCGTCTAGCGGGTGCTCTGCTCTTTCGTTCTCTGCGGCCAATCCTCGGAACCTAAACACTGCGAGTAAATCTCTCGTCACTTCTCTTTCTGTCTCGATCTTTTTTTCTTTCGCTGCTGATCTTCATTCTAGGATGTGGTTTTTAAATTGATTATTTCGATTGTTCAATTTATTGCTTTTTTGGTATCTCTTGATCTTTTTTGTCTGTTTGGAATCAGATAAAAAGAGAAAAAAGAGGTAAAGATGTTTGGGAGAGCTCCAAAGAAAAGCGACAACACAAAGTACTACGAGATTCTTGGAGTCTCAAAAAATGCTTCGCAGGATGATCTGAAGAAGGCTTACAGGAAAGCCGCAATCAAGAACCATCCCGACAAGGGTGGTGACCCTGAGAAGGTCAATAACAATATCTTGTTTTATATTTGGGGATTGTTTTATATCTCAGTTTTCTTTTTCTATTGGACGGGTAAGCTTGTGAAATGGGGTTTCTATTGATTGAAACTATTCAGTATTTTGATGGAGTTGAGTGTCTCAGTAGTTGATTTGATTGTATTAAAGGACTTGTTTGCTAGGACTTTCTGGTTCTAGCTTGCAGATCTGGTGTAATATGAGACTATATCTCTTATTTTACTTGTCACTTTCTGTGTATATGCGTGCGCTTATAGTCACATAATTTTGGCTCCGGTGTTTGTTACTCAAAGCAATAGATCTGGGGAGCTAATGTTTGGTTTTTGCCCATTGGTGACTGTTCCCTGGATTTGTTTACTAATTAGGAAAGAAGTTGACTATAAACAGTTGATTTCTTTCTTAGAATTTTCATATTGGCACATTTAAGTTGTTAGTAGATGAATCTCTAAAATGTGGAACTGCAATTTCAGTTTAAAGAATTGGCCCAAGCTTATGAGGTTCTAAGCGACCCGGAGAAACGTGAGATTTATGATCAATATGGTGAAGATGCTCTCAAGGAAGGAATGGGTGCAGGTGGAGGTGGCCATGACCCATTTGATATTTTCCAATCCTTTTTTGGTGGCAATCCATTTGGTGGTAAGAAAATTATTTTAATTTGGGAGTTAGATTTGATGATTAAGCAATTTGTTGTTTCATTATTTAAGCTAAAAATTATTGTTAATCTAGGTGGTGGAAGCAGCAGAGGGCGAAGACAGAGGCGGGGAGAGGATGTTGTGCATCCACTAAAGGTTTCTTTGGAAGATCTGTATAATGGAACGTCCAAAAAACTCTCTCTTTCACGTAATATAATCTGCTCCAAGTGCAAAGGGTTGGTGTTTGAAAATCTTATTTAATACACCCTATCCATTGTCTATTTTGCCTCTTTCAAGTTCACTTTCTGTAAGGTTAATGTGCCTAACATTGGTATTTTAATATGAGTACCACAGAAAAGGTTCCAAATCAGGTGCATCAATGAAATGCCCTAGCTGCCAAGGTTCTGGGATGAAGATTTCAATTAGACAGCTTGGCCCTGGTATGATCCAGCAGATGCAGCATCCTTGCAATGAGTGTAAGGGTACTGGTGAGACTATTAATGATAAGGATCGCTGCCCACAATGCAAGGGTGATAAGGTTGTACAGGAGAAAAAAGTATTGGAAGTCATTGTTGAGAAGGGAATGCAAAATGGACAAAAGATTACATTCCCTGGAGAAGCTGATGAAGCGGTATGCTAGAACATCCGTTTGTTTTTGGTGGCTTTTGTATCCTGTCATGTTTATTTTGTTAACAGCTGTGTAGGGCTAGATACTGCCATTTGTTTGTTTTTGTGGGCTTATATGAATTTTGGTCTCTTGCAGCCTGACACCATTACTGGGGACATTGTATTTGTCCTACAACAGAAAGAACATCCAAAATTTAAGAGAAAGGGTGATGACCTCTTTGTGGAGCATACTCTGTCCCTCACAGAGGCGCTTTGTGGTTTCCAATATGTGTTGACCCATTTGGATGGCAGGCAACTTCTAATTAAATCTCAACCTGGGGAAGTTGTAAAGCCTGGTAAGCGTCCTTGTGGCCCATTTGGTTTGCATGAGAATACCTGGTGTGCA